CCACAATGAGCCACAGCTCGACGCGCGTACGTCTACGGCTACTGCTGGCGCTACTATTCGCTCTCGCAGTAGCCTCCATCCACGCCATGGACCCCAGTAAAGACTATTACAAAGTACTGGGCGTGAGCAAGCAGTTCTCAGACCGCGAGCTCAAGAAGGCGTACCGTCAATTAGCGCTCCAATACCACCCCGACAAGGCAGAGAACGCCGAAGATAAAGAAGCAGCCAAAGAAAAATTCGTCGAGGTCTCAGAGGCCTACGAAGTATTATCCGATCCAGACAAGCGCAAAGAATACGACGACGCCAGACGTTTCGGAGGAGGTACAAGCGGCGGATTCCCCGGTGGATTCGGAGGCCAGGGAGGTAGAAGACGCTCCACGGACGAGAACATGGCGTCGTTCACCAAGATGTTCGAGAGCGTCTTTGGTCACGGATTCGGAGGAGCAGGAGGCTTTTCAGGTGGTGCAGGTGGATTTGGTGGAGGATTTCCCGGTGGAGCGGGCTTTGGCGGACGTGGGATGCCCAATGAGTTCCAGTTTGATGGTATGGACGGCTTTGGGCATGCTAAGCGTCCAGGAGCTCGTGGTCAGCCTCAGGCGAGACACCCCACGACGTTGTATGGACCCGAGTCGCCTGTAAAGTCGCTGTCGAAGAAGAAATTCCCCGGCAAAGACGTAGCACAAAAAAAGAATCTGTTATTGATGCTATTGTTGCTATTGTTGCTATTGTTGCTAGAAGAAATATGCAGACTATGTTGATTTGTATTTCACGAAAGCACGGATGTGGCAGTATGTGACTAAATAGTTCTAGAACGCGTGAAAACACAAATCGACATATGCTGAGCATCTCTTTCATTTGAGTTTGTATGGGAGGGATGACCTATAGTGATACTTGCACCCAACGCAATATATGTCGCCCCTCCTTTTGTTGTTTTTGTTGTGTTGGTCAGATCTGAACGGGTGTTTCTAACGTTTTTCTCAAATCTATGGTAGTTGTACGAATATAAATATGCATTGTGCCTTTCACTTGTGGCGGTAGAATATTAATTCGGGCAGAATGAGATCCACAAAAAGGCTGCCCAGCCACATTTGATGCAAACTAAGCATAAGATTGTGAACCCTT